TGTGGGTGTGGGTGTGGGTGTGGGTGTGGGTGTGGGTGTGGGTGGGTCGGTGTGTGTGGGTGGGTGGTGTGGGTGGGTGTGGGTCGGTGTGTGTGTGGGTGGGTGGTGTGGGTGGGTGTGGGTGTGGGTGTGGGTGTGGGTGGGTGTGGGTCGGTGTGTGTGTGGGTTGGTGGTGTGGGTGGGTGTGGGTCGATGTGTGGGTGGGTGGGTGGTGTGGGTGTGGGTGTGGGCGTGGGTGGGTGTGGGTGTAGGTGTGGGTGCTGGTCTAGCTCTTCTGTCCACCCACACCCCACACCCAACCACACCCACACCCACACCCACACACCCACATCCGACACCCCGCTCATAAGATATGCATCAATACTAGTGACACAAAAGAGCTCTTCTGCTTCATTCTTCTCTGTCCATGAAAGAACAGCAAAAACCAAAGTAACATCGATTAGAACTGCCCCGTTACGTTTCCCCATAAAGCATGTCTATTTTATTAAATGAATCGTATAGTGAATTAATATAAGCTAATCGGTTAGTATATTGTTCCTATCATTTGATAAAAATTCGATAGATTATTTACATATGTTTTCTTTTTATGGTAATCCTAACGGTTGGATCATTATTGATCAGCGTAGAAAGAATAGTGTTGACTGCGAAACTACGACTTACTACGTATTGGATAAAATGAAAAATCCACAAGTTCGTCTTCGGAGCTAGTGCCTTGGGTCAATTATAGCTATATATTTTATGTCGAATTTAAATTTGTAGTCCGATTCATCCTTCTATGAATAAATATAAGGGCCATTGTGCAAAGCATTTGAGATTTCTCACCTATTTGAACTGTATAAATGGTCGTACTAGATGTCAAGATTTCGCTCACATCATTTCATCAGAAGCAGTCGCTTATATAGCTTAGAATGTTCAGTTAACGATATCGAGTGAGTGTGGATTTACGTCTTCTTTCCATCCCAACGAAACATTCACACCCATACTCCTATTTTCCATACCTATGCATGGTTCTCTTAAAGAAATAGGTTTAGAAATATTAAATAAATGAAGTGATATTGATTATGCACGAGCATGAGTTATAACTTCAGTGCTTTTCAGGCATCTACTTCAAGTATTCCTGGGGTTTCCATCGGATTCCCATGGGATTTGGAATCCCTGGAATCCGCCGATTTTCCCTTGGCAGCAACCAATGTGAGGGTAAGAGTGAGAGTGTGACTAATCTGCAGTAGTACCCTGTATGCAAAATTTCATCACAACCAGACTACTCTTTGAAGAGCTATCGTATAAACGGCCGGTTGGACGGACACACGGATCGATCCTATAGTGTACTTACTTTTGCAGTACACAATAATCAAAGTACTACATGCTAGTGTTTATATGAGTTCTTATAACTTAAAAAAGCTATAGACATTAAACATTTTGCTTATTTACTATCAGGTAGATATTCTATTCTGTCAAAGTTTCAAACAGTTTGCTTTTAGTAAAAACATGAAAGATGAATTTAAATATAGCTTCAAACTTCTAGGACAAATTCTTATAATCAAATAATATATTTATTAATCAAATTCAATTATGAAAAATAGTAATTGCTTTCTTTGTACATTGTTTATTTTTTCATACCTTAATATCTGCTCTTTTTACTTCTTGATTCCTGAATAAAAAAATGTTCTAACTAAATTTTATAACGATAATTGAACGAACTGTTCATTTTGATAGAATTAAATAAGATTGATATCCTAAAAAGGCTCCAACTATTCATGCTAATTCAATTAAGAAAAGATGTCAAATGGTAAAGTTAGCAAAATCTGCTTTTAGTTCGCATTCCTATATTTTCAAAAACTCGTAATTTCAAGCCAGTTTGTACTAAAAACCTTGAAAAAATCAATACAGTTCAAATTTTATATAAAATGAAGTCTAATATTTGAGAGAAGAACAAGTTACTCATTGAATCACTGAAATGTATTGTTATACACTAAATAATTCGAAGTATTTCCTGAAATAAGATGTAGTACTATAGAATGAACTCAATTCATGTTCGAAAAAAGTCTAAAGAGATTGACAGTGAAAAAATTAGAGTCGAGACTTCATTGAAGAGAACATATGACATTAGTTTTTCTATTGCATGAAATTTCTGTCATTCTTTCTAATTATTTTACTTGTCTATGTTTTCTTAAGAAACTACTATATAGACAAGTTAGAATGGGGATGAAGGATAGTTGTTTTTTCAACTTAAGTATAGGTAGTCTCAATATGTATGTGATCTATAAATGATAGTTTTTTCTTAAACACATGTATTTTACTCTGAACGAATTTCTATCTCATACAAAAGTTAAGTCTACATGTAAGTGTACGCAAGAATGATTGACTTTTCTCTTCAAAAAAATGTAGTTCAAGCGATAGTAACTTTTATTAGTCTGTGCAAACACGAAAATATTCTTCTTTCAACATATATGATTGAAAAAAGTGCTAATACTTTATTTGACAGAAAAGAAAAAGTAGTGCAATCTTTAACAGAAGATATATGTGTTCAATTAGATGATAGACTTCGATTAGACAATGATATTTTTCTTTTACTATGAAAATAAAATTTGCTAATTACACATGTGTTGAACTCACTCTTCTTAGAAGCTATCATTTTTTAACCATATGTATATGGAGAGTGCACATATTTGAATTGAACACATATGAAGAAGAAAACAATTATTCTGTATCTTATTCTAACTTGTTCGCATAGTTGTTTCTTGAGAAAATATAGATCAATGAAATAGTTAGAAAGAACCACGAGATTTTCATGTAACCAAAAAAAAAAACTTTTGTTTTTCGATAATTATTCTGACAAGAGTATTCGAATGTCTTTTTCAATGAAGTTTTGACTCTATTTTGTTTTACTGCCACTTTCTCTAGGTTTTCTTCGAATATGAATTGAATTCATTCTATAGTACTTGATCTTGCTCGAGAAAATACTTTAAATTATTAATTTGATGACAATATGTTTAAGTAATTCAACGAATAACTTGTTGTCCTCTCTTATATCAGACTTCATTTTATATTGACTTTTAACCCTGTCGATTTTTTCAACACTATAGTATAAGACAAGTATTTGTGAAGATAAGTCATACTTATTCAATTACTTGCCTCTCATATATACAATGAAATAAAAGACAAATCTTTATTTTCAATACTTCAAATATAACAATTGTACAAACGGAAAATGTTACTAGAAACAAACAGTAAATATACATAGAAAGAATTTTCAAAAATTGGAATTTGATATGAATATATTCTTTGCGTTTTGTTTAACAGCCAACAATGTTAGGTTGATTGCAACTTCTAGAAAGAGGATTAAAAACAGTGCCATCACCACAACGTTGTAAATGTGGTTGACCATCTGAACAATGACAACGTTCTGGACTGCATGTCTTGAAAAACTTGATATCATTTCCTAATTTTTTGCAAAATACTACATCACATTGTGGAGGTACTGTATGCATCAAATATAAGCCTTTGCCTAGATCTAACACTGATCCGTGATACTGCTTGCGTATGTTGGTAATATCTATATTACTATTATTATAATATACAACTGTGGATTCTTCTGGTGCTAGATGAATAGCTTTTGAAATTCCTTCATCAACTGGTCCAATGACGATCAAGAAGAAAGCAAGTCCTTTTCTTGTGTTTAAATTGAATATTTCAACAGCTTCAATGCCTTGTAGAGAAGGATCGAGCATGAGAATTCCAAAATCTTCAGGATTTCGATGAACTTTTGCAAATAAAATTATTATAGTTTGTTGTAGAAATAAAAGTATGTACAGAAGTTGTAAGTAAGTCATCATATGAAGTTTATTGAAAAACGTCTAAATAGAAACAGTAGAAAATACATTGAGAAACAATTTTCACTAATAGTTGAATACTTAGAGTAAGCAGTGACAATAACAAAAACAGATGTATAGCTTATATCTTTTGAAAAAGGAGAAAACAATTTTTCGTAAAAAAAAAAAACATGTAGAAAAAAAGTGTTTTTCGATATAGGTTCGGGTTTTGCCTTTTAAAAAGTCTCTTTGATATACTATATTTTCATGAATGTTTTAATTAGATCTACTATTGATTGTACCGAAATATCTTGCATACTCAGTAATCTATAAAGGGTAGTCTATAGATAACTTGACTATGAAAAATGTAAATATCTTTTCTCTATCTGAATCTATAAATTCAAGCTTTTCTTGGAAAAAAAAATCATATAACAAATATTGTGATAAGGTAATATTATTGAGTTCCATAAGAAAGGTTAACCTTATATAATTTATGCTAATTATTAAACACATTAAAGTCTAATAGTTACTTTCGAAAACAAAACATTCATTGATTATATACTTCCTATTAATTTATACTCAAAAGTTTAACTTTTAGTTTTGTTCTTTTTTGGTAAAACAAAACTAAAGTGATAGTCCAAATTTAATCTATACTCATATCTAATTCGAACTTTCGTCGAGATTATTATTCTAATGATATCAGATATATCAAAATTTTGCTTTCATGAATATACAGTTCACAAAAACAGAATCTATCTGAACAGAATTGTTTTAAGTAGTATTCTCACGAAAATAAACGATTTAAAGTTATCTCAACATACTTGCTATGAAGTTTATTTGTATGATATTTTCTGTTGATAAATAAGAACTATAAAAATACAAATAAAATATAGAATAACTTAATAAGATAATTTCTATCTTACTTGAAATCACTTGATTTGAGTTGCCTAAAATGATTATTAATTGATGAATGAAGATATGAAGATTTCTTTCCGTATTTATATAGAACATGTTTCATAGCATGACTACTTTATATAAATATAGAAGGGATATTTGATTGTGAGAAAAAAATATTGTTCCCATATATGACACATTATATTAGCAGACGAAGAACACGATGAAATACGTAAGATTTGATGGAAAATACGCAGATTTTTTTCGTAAGAGAACGGTGGCATGACTCATTTGCGTCGGACAGTTACATTGATATCTTTCTCCATCTAGAATAGTTATTACGCTGACAGAATAAAACAAGTTTTTCATCTATTGAAATTTCTCAAACGAGCTCATACAGTTGAATTATTCTGAAAAAACTATTGTGAACACTTTGAAAATGTCAGTAATAGCATAGTATAATAGAACTTTCGAGTTAATTGTTTCATTTCAATTTAAAAGTTTTCAAACTGACATTGTATACAAATAATTCGAAGTTGTTTCTATTATCAACATCAAAATATAAGGCAGGTGAATGTATTTTGAATAACTTTTGATAGAAGCATCTTAAAATCTTCTAATTTTTAGCAATCAAGAGCGAAAACTTGAAATCATCGAAATATAATCGATGAAAAATTGACTAATTCAGTGAATTCTTGACATAAGTGTTCCAAAATCATATTCTCAAGCCATTTCATTCTCAATATAGACTTCTAGTAATAGTACTAATTCTACTTTTCGAATCGACACAAAACCAACACTCCTTGTTTATTCCACTGAAGAATTTATAAGACTTTGCGTGAGAGTTTCAATTTCTCTAAATTGAAATGTGGTCATTCGAAGACATAATTCATCATGTTGAGACGAATGATGATATTCGTTGGTAGGATTTGAATCGATCTGACAATTTTATCATAATCAACTTGTATCTGTAACGAAGAAGTTGACATTGCGCTGAAAGATTATAATAACAGTGTTAGAGCAAATTTGAACGTAAAAACAAAATATCACCAATCGACTAAGATCGAAAAAGAAATAGCTACAAAAATTCACTTGATTGATCAAACATATTTCAATAGTTCTGAGTTCTTCTCTTTTAAAAAAGTGAAAATTGCAGCTCTCTAGCTCTTTCCATTCTTAAATTATTACACATAGATTAACATCTACTTAGTCTACAATAGTTTCATAATTGATTAATTAAAAGAATTCATATAATTTTTTTCCTAGTGAAATTTAGAATACACAACATACAATTTTATTTTTGTTGAATTAACATAAAATGTACATAAACAATTATCAAAAACATAAATACAAATTAGATTTATGTACAAAATGAACGTTCTGGTGTACCAAATGTAGATAATGATCGTTTTGTTGATGGTGATTGATATTGTCCATAACCAGATGATTTAATATTTTTTAAAAGAATTCTTGATGTTGTTACAGATTGACTTCTTAGTGGTGTATGAATATTTTTCTTAGCAATTGTTGAAATATTTCGTTGAATAATAGTTGATTGAACTTGTTTTTTATTACGTAATGGTGTTAATATATCACCATTAGCAGATTTATAACTTGTATTTAATGAACAATTATGAATATTTGAAGATGATTGTCGTGTAATTCGTTCTTCTGTTAAAACCTAAGAATATATATTTGTGTTTTTTTTTTACAACAATAAAATGATTTTTATCATTACAATTGATTTAAGAGATCGAAGTTCATTTTTACATTCAATCATTTCTTGTAAAAGTTCTTTAATTTGAACTAAAATGTTTTTTTTTAATAGGTTTTATATATTCAGATAAACAAAAATAAAAAAATTTCTTAATTAACAAACTTTCTGATGATTGAGTATTAATTTCTTTAACATAAATTCGACCTCGATTATTATCATTTATTTCAATTGCATCATCAATTATAAAATCAGATTCAACTATATAAAATTCCTTTTTTTTTTATTTCAATACAAACAAAGAAACAAAGTAGAAAAAAGCAAAAATTAAATTCTTTTTTTTTTACTTTGCATGGTAATGATATTGGTAATTCTTCATTACGAATTCTAGATATGAAGAAAAAAACAAAAAAAGTCATTTTCTTATTTATTTATAAAATAAATAATTTAATATACGTTTTAGAATATTTTTCATCATTATGATATTGAAACAATGAAAGTGGTCCATAAGTATATTGACCATCAGCAACAGCATAAACTAATTTATTATTCGGATCAGGATTATCACGATGTTCTATAGAAGAAATTTCTTTTCAAGCAAAAAAAAAAAACAAAATTTTTATAAGTATTTTACCCAAAATAGCAAATGGAAAATCAAATGGAATAATAATATTAGTACAATCCATGATTATAACAATGAAAGAAAAAGAAGAATAGAACAATGAATTGAGCAAAAACATGACAAAGACTTTTATGTTGAAACACAGAGAACCCGCAGTTTTTTTTGTCTTGTAAAAAAACAAAAAAATTTTATTCTATTGAATTATTTATTAAGTTATTTTAATTGAGAATTTTTCGAAGATTTGTTTTAAATGAATATTTAATAAATATAGATGACACTGATGTTCATTCTTTACTTGTTATGATATATACAAAATAGCAATAGTGAGAATGTATCAACTGTCTTGTTCAAAGGATTATAAAATTTAAATATAATTTATCTTTCGAAATTACACGATTTTGTTATTGTAGAATTAAACATTTATATCTTACGAGTAGTGATGAAGCTCAGTTTTTCCGGAACCTCTCCCTAGGAAAATTTTTGAAGTGTGTATTTGATGCGTCAAGAGAGCTCAAAGATCCTGGCTCCGTCACTACTTATGAGAGAACACGGCAAACTCGTTTTTCACTAACATTTTCATAACTCGAGACGAAAGACTTAACTAAAAAAATGTAATTATATTTATATAATTATTATTTATTGTGTTTTAATAAAAAAACGGTTGAAAATTCTAGAGTAATTGTAAAATAATATGAAATATCATTATTGTAGTTTTACATTTGTATTTTTTTTTTGTACAAAATATAACAATTGTTTGATTCATAAAAACTAAATCAAATAGCTAATAATCAATTCTTTTGTTTTTTTTTCATGTATTGAAATTTCTAATAGGTTTATAATAGTTCTATTTGAGTCTTCATATGCAAATAAGTAGTATCTAATTGGAGAAAAAAAGAAAAATCTCTTTTATATCTCAATCAACAGAAATATTTGATAACGACTAACTTATCTATATTCCGCTTATGATAAAGAAACTCTATCAATAAAATTACCTAAATTAATTCATTAGTAACTGTCATTTCGATAGACGATTCGATACTTAAATACTTAGCTATTTAATTGTTATCATTTAACCTTAGTATGCTAATAGTTGTTCTCTAACTAACAATCTAATGTTGGTACATCGTTAGTAACCCAGGTCGATGAATATGTAGGTCATATACGATCGTATACGTTCACGATACGACCGTATTTCTCCGTAATACATGAGGCCGTATTACGATCGTATATCTCCATGACCGTATGCGGAGATCGTATACGAGCGTGTTTTTTTCCGTAAATCACCGTATACGGTCACGGAGATATACAATCGTAATACGGTCTCATATAAATCGTCGTATTTCTCCGTATACGGTCGTTTGCAACGGTGGGCTTGTTTGACACTTTTGTAAGAGACAAAAAATAAAAAAATTTTTCACTCATATTATGCTCAATGATGACAATAAAGAAGTTTAATATAATAGGTAAATTTATTTGAAAATGAGCAATAAAAATAGATCTATGTAAGAATACTATAGGCAAAAATAAAATTCGACGTTGAAAATTTACTAAAATCATATTTATTTCCATAAATGACATAAATATTCATCATAATGAATAATTTTATTTATAGATACAAGCCAAAAAGAAACAAAAAAAAAAGTACCCGCATACAAGTACATTCTCTTGATGATTATGTTATTATTTGCATAGCATAACTAATGTTTTTTAATTTTATGTCAATATGGAATGTCATGAAATAAAATTGATTAAGGTTCTTCTTCAATAACCTTTAATTCTCGTCGACGTTTTTCT